TGACAACCGTCTCTTTCAGCAAGGAGAACAGCGCTTAACGCATGATCAGAGACGGCCAGGTACATGTAGAGTACTTCTTTGGGCAAAGGGCTGACCAGCCTCGGCAAGGAATGCAAGTGAACTTTCAATTTCTGGAAGGCCGCCTCAGCATCCGGCCCCCATTCAAACCTTGCCTTTTTCTTAATTGCCTGGAAAAAGTATAGGCATTTGTCGCCTGATCGGCTTAGAAATCTTCCCAAGGCCGCCAGACAACCTGTTAACTTCTGAACCTCTCGGATGGTACGAGGCGACTGCATGTCGATGACCGCCTGCACCTTCTCAGGGTTCGCCTCTATTCCTCTCTGATTGATAAGGAATCCGAGAAATTTCCCAGACTCAACTCCAAAGACACATTTCTTGGGATTGAGCATGACATGGTGCCGCCTGAGTGTGGCGAAAGTTTCTCGGAGGTCCGACAGATGATCTTTCTGAAGTTTAGACTTGACAATCATATCATCAATATATGCCTCGACATTTCTCCCAATCTGATCAAAGAACACAGTGTTTATCATTCGCTGGAAAGTGGCCGGGGCATTCTTAAGACCAAACGGCATGACCGTGTAACAATATAACCCCTGATCAGTGACGAAGGCCGTCTTCTCCTGATCTTTCTTCCATAAAGGAATTTGATGGAAACTAGAGTAGGCGTCCATAAAGCTCATCAAAGCATGGCCAGCTGTTGAGTCGACCAGGTTATCAATTTTAGGCAGAGGGAAACTGTCTTTGGGGCACGCCTTGTTTAAGTCTGTGTAGTCTACACACATTCGCCAGGTGCCATTCGGCTTTTTAACAAGCACCACATTTGCAACCCAGTCTGGGAAGTAACATTGCCGAATGAACCCTGCATCAATTAATTTTTTAACTTCGGCGGCTGCCGCCTGACTTCTTTCTTCGCCATGGTTCCGCTTCTTCTGCCGTACCGGCTTCTTTTTCGGATCCACGACCAGTTTATGTACCTCCAGATCAGGACTAATGCCTGGCATTTCATGGACTTCGAATGCAAAGATGTCCTTGTATTCTTTCAATAGTTTGTGAAATTCGTCACCCAGGTCCCTTAGAGCAGTCGTCCCAACCTTGATTGTTCTGTCAGGACGCGAGTCATCTAACATCAGGTCCGTATGCTCACCAGCTGGCTGAGGGCAGAATTCATCCGACCGCTCCTCTGCCAATGATTGCTATTTTCTGTCTTTTCTTGCGGCCCCTGTCTGGGATGCCTTTCTCTTCTTGCCGCCTGCTTCTTGAACAGGCGCACTCTCCTTGACATTGTCAAGGTCTATTTTTCCACCACTCGACCCAGTGGCCATAACAGTGGGCTTGACATCCGAGAGATAGCACTCTCGGGCCATCCTCTGATCTCCCCTTAGGGACCCGACTGTTCCATTATCCCTCTCAAACTTGAGCAACATAAGAGATGGGATTATAACAGCCTTGGAATTATTCAGGGTTGGTCGTCCCAGAATCATGTTGTAGGCCGAGAGTTCTTCTACTACCAGGAACCGGACTACCATGTGTCGTCCTTCCCCTTTTTCGCCCAGGCGGATGGGTAAATCCACTCGTCCCACTGGGTGGACGACTCCTCCTCCAAACCCTACTAAAGGGTGGGATGCCGGATGTATGCAATCAGTCTGATATTTTAGTTTCGACAGACATTTGCTACTGATGAGATCTGAGGAGCTTCCGGTATCTATGAGGATTCGGCCAACTCTCTGGTTGGCCACTTTACATTCAATAACGATAGGGTCGTCATGCGGCCCTCTTACCCCTCCTAGATTTTCTTCAGTGATGACAATCTCAGGAAATGAATATTTGGAGGGTCGTTCTTGGTGAACGGAATTTACATCTAACCGTCTGATATTGTCTTTGTTGCCCCTAATAGTGGGGCCGGCTCCTGAGAAGCCGCCTGCAATGGTGTAGACGACTGCATCATCTGTATCGGAGCTGTCGGCCTGTTGATTCTTTTTGGTCGACTGCTTTTTCGAGGAAGTGTTCCCCGTAGATTTCTTGACATAAGTGTCAAGATCACCTTGCTCAGCCAGGCAGTCCAGATTCCGCATGAGACTGATGCATTCATTGGTGTGATGACCAACATCTTCATGATAATCACATAATTTTTCTTGGTTCCGATTGTTTGCAGAACCCTTCATGGGGACCGGCTTCTCAATTGAGATCCGTCCCTTGATTTCCTTTAGGATAAATTGGCTATCCTTGTTAAACACATACTTTGGGGAGTATGGTTTGAATTCTTTTTTCTTCTTCTGGGACGGCTGTTTAGAGGAATCAGTTGCCCAGACCTCTTTTCTCTTCTCGTCTTTGTTTGACGACTGCTTCTGTCGTCCTTCTCTTTTGTCGGACCTTTTCCCGTCTGACTGTTTTACCGTACTACAAAGATCAGTCGCCTGTATATAGGCTTCCGCTTCAATCAAGGCCTCTTGAAGAGTCGCCACCCTCTTTCGGACCAAATCAAATTTGAAGGTCGACCCGTCTTTGAGACCTCTGAAAAAGTCAGTATAGGCTACTTCATCCGGTAACCCTTGAATCTGTATTCTCATCAGGTTAAACCGCCTGATGTAAGAACGAAGCCCCTCCTTCTCGCCCTGCTGAATTGTTCCTAAATCAAGGGTCGTCTTCTTCGCAGGGATGTTCATGGCGAAGTTGGAGGTGAATAAGTAAGCAAGCGTCTTGAAGTTATTTACACAACCAGTCGGCAGGTTGCCGAACCATTGTTGTGCGATTCCTTTGAGAGTCGCTGGGAAACACTTGCACCAAGTGGGATCATCCAACCCTTGAAGGTACATCAGGTTGGTGAATGCCATCAGATGGTCTTCTGGGTTAGTAGTGCCGTCATAGGCGCCTACTAATACATTTTTCACTTTGGCCGGCTGAGCGGCTTCAGTAATTTCCTTGGAGAAGGCCGACGGCTGTTCACCAAGTCTAAGCAACCGTAGCTGCCAGTCCATAGGTTGGACATTTTTTGCTGCATGTCCACCAAACGGAGGTGGCTGTAAAAAATACTGTTGTTGCGGTACAAACGGTAAGTTTGGTACTGCCTGGTCGCTATGAAAGCCGGACTGACGGGAGGTGCCGCCTGACTGACTCTCATGATACGACTGAGTATGCCTCATCGAGGTATTTCGCAGACTGTCTTGGAAGTTTGAAGTAGAGGCCGACTCTGACAATCGGTCACTCTTCTTCTGCTCCAGCAGTAGCCGAGCGTCTGTGTATGTTTTCCTCGACCCGTCCGCCTGAATATGACGAACATGTTTCCTATTTCCTGGAGTAGGAAAACGGTATTTTGTGAAATCAAGGGCAGGTGGCTCCCACTTCCTAGATTTAGGATGAGGGGTCGCCTCTCGCCCTTGAACTGGCTTCCTCTTCCGTGAAGTGGAGGGTTTCTTAGCCGACTGCTCCTTGTCCAGAGCAGGCGGCTTCTTGTTGATCAACTCTTGAATTTCTCCCTTGAAGTCCCTCATGAAGGTCATGAGTTCGTTCCTTGTGATGGGAGCAGACCTATCAGTCGGCTGCTGCCGAATAGGCGGTGCGCCTGCTGGCTCGCTTCCAGTTTGAAGATGTTCCCGTTCCCTCCTTTCGGTATGACGGGTACGTCGGGCCCTTAGGGTCCCTTCTGAAGCTGTGTGAGCTTCAACTTCAAATTCATTCTTAGTATCGTGGTCCGACTGAACTAGAGGGTCGTCCAGGGGACGTCTCTCTTCAGGAGCCGGTACAAACGTGGATGCCATCTCAGAAGTACTCTCCCCACAGACGGCGCCAAGATGTTTCGGGGTTTTCTGATGTCCTGCGGGAGAGTTACAATTCTGAGACTGGAACCGGACGCCTGTACCTGCAAAACAAACGGATGCTCCGGATGATTGGAGATCCGCCTCCGACGGTCAAGTTAGTACTTGATTAAGGAGTAATTAATGCGGAAATTAAAGTGGTTGGGTCTCTCTAGGTGAGAGTGTTTAATGTGTGTAATCTGCGTTTTTTTGCGTCCCCCCCTTAATGAGGATTAAGGGAGGTATTTATAACCTCGGGAAACGTGCCAATCTAGGTTTAGGTTAACCTTGGGCTGATTGGGCTTCCCTCGGAAGTTGGGCCTAGCTGACCGGTTATCCCAGGTGTCATGGGAAGGACACGTGTCGTGTCGTAATTGGTCCATAGTGGACGGATCATTGCTTGACACGTGGCAGGCTCCTATTGGCCCATGTGACGGACACATGGCGGAACCTGATTGGTCCACTTGTCAGATGGTGATTGGTGGGGAAAAATCCCCTAATCAGGAGTTGGTGCCTCGTCCTCCCAATGTCAATGTTATTCCTTGTATGTGGCTTTACAAACATAAAAAGGATGCTAATGGTGTTTTTGAGAGGCACAAAGCCCGTCTTGTTGTTAATGGCAGGAATCAACAGGTTGGGATCGATTGTGATGAGACTTTTAGCCCGGTGGTTAAACCGGCATCTATTCAGACTGTTCTTAGCATTGCTCTCTCCAAGTCTTGGCCCATCCACCAAATGGACGTCAAAAATGCTTTCTTGAATGGTGATATTGCTGAAACAGTTTATATGCATCAACCACCCGGTCTTCGTGATAAAGACAAACCGGGCCATGTATGTCTTCTCAAAAAGGCTCTCTATGGGCTAAAGCAAGCCTCACGGGCTTGGTATCATCGGTTTGCCTCCTTTGTAGCTACTATTGGTTTTTCCCACAGCAAATCTGACAACTCTCTCTTCATCTACTCTCAAGGCAAAGAATTGGCATACATTCTTCTCTATGTCGACGATATTGTCCTCACCGCCTCCTCCGACGCTCTTCGGCTTTCTATTATGGGTCGTCTCAGTTCCGAATTAGCCATGACTGATCTTGGTACTCTCAAATCTTTCCTTGGTATTTCTGTGACTCGTCATTCCGGGGGTATGTTTTTGTCTCAATAATCCTATGCTAAGGATATCATTGCCCGTGCCAATATGTCCTCTTGCAAGCCTTCGGCCACACCCGTCGACACCAAAGCTAAGTTGAGCTCCACTTCCGGCCCTCCTATTGATGATCCCACATTATATCGTAGTCTTTCCGGCGCTCTTCAATATCTCACTTTTACTCGCCCGGATATCTCGTATGTCGAGCAACAAATCTGTTTATATATGCACGACCCACGGCAAGAACACATGCATGATGTTCGACGCATATTGCGGTACCTTCAGGGTACCTTATCTCACGGCCTTCACCTCTATGCTTCTCCCACAAGCAGCCTAATCTCATACTCTGATGCGGATTGGGGTGGCTGCCCCGACACACGCCGCTCAACCTCGGGTTATTGCGTGTTTCTTGGTGACAACTTGATCTCTTGGTCTGCCAAACGTCAACCCATTATCTCCAAGTCAAGTGCGGAGGCCGAGTATCGGGGTGTCGCAAATGTCGTCGCCGAATCATGTTGGCTTCGCAACCTTCTTCTCGAACTCCACTGCCCAATCAAGAAAGCTACGGTTGTGTATTGTGACAATGTTAGTGCCGCCTATCTCTCCGGCAACCCGGTTCAACATCAAAGGACCAAACACATTGAAATGGACATCCATTTTGTTCGTGAAAAGGTTGCTCTCGGTCAAGTTCGTGTTCTTCATGTTCCTTCTTGATATCAAATCGCGGACATTTTCACCAAAGGTCTTCCACAACTTCTCTTCGATGATTTTAGAAACAGTCTTAGCGTTCACAATTCAAGCCTCCCGCTTCGACTGCGGGGGTGTATTAGATTATGTAAATAATCTTGCATTTACGAGGTTCACACCCCTTTACCTCTTGTAATTTACTAGGTTCACTCCCCTTGTACACTTTGTATTTATTGTTAACCTAGCTTAGTGTTTTGTAATCTATGTATTTAAACACTTTCCTATAATGAGAAATCTCAAGGGATTATTTCCTATACTAATGTCGGTTATCTAGTTAGTGATAGTATGGACATTACTCTAACTCTAGTCTTTCTACTATTCTCTCCTGTGATGCATTACGAGTTTCCCTCGTGAGGAGGATCTCCTAATGTCCTTTTTTTTCTTCTTACCTGTATAAAAAAAAAATATGCACTTATTAGAAGTTGTAAATCTTGTAATTTCTCATTGAGGTTTCTTTTCCAATACATTTTATATGTATGCATACAACATACTCATATGAACCTCATCTATAAACAACAGCACTCTGTACACTTGCATGCATGATGCATACTCAAATTTGGTTCCGAAATCATGGTATCTAAAAAGTACGGTACAAATACACCACTTAAGCAACTTTTGAATATTCTATCCATCACATACGAAGATACGGTGGAATTGGTAGGAACCTTATCTTGTGACTTTGAGGTCACAAATTCGAGCCCCTCCAACTACAAAATGTTTGGGAGTAGGGATTATTAGTAGAACTAAAGTACCCTTACCCCGGCCCTAAAGCGCCTATAGTGCAATTTATCTCATATACAGGCATATAGCTGCAACATTAACCAAAGCTTCACTTATAGCCTATAATGAGTACTTTTTTTTTCTTGGGTAAGGAGAAGGTCCCTACTAGGTCGAAACTTCTCACAGGTCTTTTAGGCTCGGGTTAGACACTTTAAAAGTAGGGGAGATGGGTAAGGGAATCCCTACCCCCATAATGCCTCTAGGGGGTTTGATGCAAACCTTACCATTAGACCAAACTATGCTAGCTTGATTGGTTATAAGTTATAATTTTTATAATTAATATAAGAAGTATTTTCAAGGCTACAATGAAATTAATATACTACCTCCGTTTCTTATTATGTGCAACAAAGGAATATTTTATATCTCACAAATAATACCTCTTCGTTGCACATAATAAGAAACGGAGGTAGTAATAAGATCGAAAAGTTAATCTTATAACGATGAAAAGAGTACGGTGTGTTGTGAAGCAAATTCACTGACTTGAAACCAAAATTTCGGCGCAACCCGGGTGCACAATTGTATTCGCTAGCACGTTCCCTAAGGTTAATACACCACTTCCACACAAAGGCACTTTTGGCCTGGGTGAAAGGTTGGAGCCAAGTAACTTATGCCCAGTATAAAGTATGTATTTAAGTTTTTTTTTTTTTTTTTTTTTTTTTTTTTTTTTTTTGTTTAAGCTTGTGTTTGAAGATTATGTTAAAGTATATTGAATAATCAAGAGTTGAAGAATTCAAAGGGACAAATCTTTTAATCAGAAATAAAACTCCTTAAACCTTCTATTAATTGGGAGTTGAGAGGAAATTACAAAGAAAAGAGGAAGAGAAATAGAAAGAGTTGGAACTTCCAATGGTCACCTAGGAGCTCCGCCTTGACCTTCGCTCGGTGGTGAGCCCGACAGGGCGAGCTCCCGCCAGGTAGGGTGAACAAACGATGAAAATCAGCTTCACTCTTGCCAAGGTCAACTTTCCATTTTCTTCCTTTATTCCAACAATAACTATCTATTTTTTGTATACGGAGTATATTATTCTCTTCGTCCCTAAATTATATTCCTAATTATTTTTATTATGTGTGGAATAAATGAATAGTGACGGGGAGTATAAGAGAAACAACGGTTAATTTATATACAAATTGCAAATGAATGATTGTGGGGTAAATGACAATTATATAATTAACAAGTTGATTAAATTATAGAAGAATAAGAAGGAATATGCCATCAAAACCTTTTATGTAACGAACATAAAATCCATTAGTATTTAGAATGATTGACCATTAAAAAACAAAAAAAAAAAAAAAAAGGTGACAAGTGGACCGGGCTAGCCCCTTGGATCCCATGTCCCTGTCAATAGATTGGATAAGGCAAGGCTTTGTAATTGACAAATACGGAGTAATAACTTGGTCTCAAGTCTCAACGTCTAATCCTCTTTAAATAGGATTTTTATGGTTAATTTATACTTTTATATGCATCAAATAAAATACTTCATCCGTTTTTTTTTACTTGACCCGCTTTGACTTTTACACTATTCATCAACCCACCTTTAACCGTCTTTTGTGAATTATAGGTAAAGAAAAACATATTTATGTAAGATCTTGTTAGAATCGTCTAAATAACTACTATCACAATATATAACTTTTATAATCTTTACTTGATGGTTAAACTTGTGCATTGGCAAACGTGATAAAAGAAACAGGTCAAGTAAAAAAGAATAGAGGAAGTAGTAATTTTTTTTTTGAATAGCAAATAAAATAGGAGTAGTAATTTGGATTTGTAGACTTTTGGATCTTTACCTGTTAAATAATTTTTGGTAAAAAAACAGGAAAAAGTAAATGGATTATAACATCAACAAGTACCTTTACTTTACACTCCTTAATGATGAGCAAAAACTTTTGTATACATCCGGTTTACACTAATATTAGTGTACATCGAGCATTATAAGGGTAACTTTTAACTAATTTTAGGGTAATTTTTTGCCTGTTTTTGAGTAACTTTAAACATAATACAATTTTTATATAAATAGACAACAAGAAAAGTTTTATAAAGGTAATTTAATTACATTCATTAATAATTGATTTTTAGTCATTTAAAATGTGATTCTTTACTAATAAAGTGTAGATAATTTTTATTTGAATTGGGTTACTTTTACGCATATTGGGGTAACTTTTATTCATTTCAGAGGTAACTTTTAATCACTTTAAACTATCTTTATAATGGATTTACAATAATTATTGTACACCCGATTTTTTTAAAAGTTTGTGAATGATGAGACCTTTTCTTGCCATAATTTGGATAAAATCATTAATGACTTAATTTGTTTGTTTTTTTTTTGAAGGAAAATGACTTAATTTGTTTCCCAAAAGGAGTGTTTAATTTTTGCATTTTAAAAGGGAAATGTTTATTTTAATTTCCTTGATTCAAGTATATATAAAACATATTATCAAGTATTTAAGTAGGTTAGTGGCGGCTGAAAATACATGGAAATTGGTTTATTTAATAAGAACGCATTTTTCCTGTCAAAATAAAATAAAAGTAAGAACCTCTTCTTTTCTAATTTGGATGGAATGAATTTTGTATTTGACGTGAATTCAACCAAGCTAATAAACTGCGTAAAAAATTAAAGGAAAAGTATTGTATAGAACGGACTCACGTTAGTCCAATCATATAAAAATAAATTAATTGTTAGAAATTCAATAATAATGGTAAGAAATTAGATAATAAGTGTCAGAAAATAGATAATATTGGTCCGGTATTAGATAATAATGGTCATATTTTAGATAATAAGTATCAGAAATTGGATAATAAGTGTCAGTTTTAGATATTACTAGATGAAGCCCGTGCGATGCACGGTTTGTTAGTATTTTTTTTAAGAAAATATTTTTCATATTTATGTTATTAAAATTGTTATTATATAAGTTTTAAAATATTATAATAAAATTCCTAATCTCAAAAGATAATATTTTGTATTTAATTAATTTAAACTTTAAAATCTCATTCGTCAATTTTGCTTACGTGGCATTTGAATTATTTAATTGTAAAAGAAATTAATAATCTCTTATTTAATTGGTTACAACTTAAATTTACAATCCTACGTGGCGCGCTAAGAAAATTAAATCCTACGTGGCTCTCTAAAAACTCGGGGAAAAACTCCCCTTTATATATATATATATACTAGTTTTGTGTCCGTGCGATGTCCGGGTTGTTTATTGAATTTTAAGATAACATTTTAATCTATATGTCTAATTTTAAAACATATCATTGATACAAAATTAGTTAGGAATTGATGTGTTTTTGTGATGATTTAAACTATATAGTAGGCATGTAATGACTAATAATAATAACATTGGTGAAAAACATTTCTTGACTCATAACCTGAAATAATGACCCTGTGTGAAATGACTCGTGACCCGACCCGATTGACAATTTTAATTGATTAGAATATATTATAAATAATGGATGTGGTGCATTTTGAGCTAATTCATTCGCTCCAAAAAAATACTATGATACAAAAAATAAATTTATATGATAATTTATGAGAGTTATAATTTTTTTTTAATAAAATTATAATTTAATTTGTACACATGAAATATTGGTGCTTTATCGAAAATAAAACTCTAAATTAACAATTTTATACTAAAATTTTATCCAAATTTGATTGAAAATAGAATTCTAAATTAACTTTTTTATCCTACTGTAGGGAATAAATTTCAAGCGTCAACCCCTAGCTTGAACCCCACTGTGATCATACACTAAAGTACAGTGATGCCAAAAGGGAAGAAGATAGAGCAAAAGAGTCGCCAACAAGTTTTAGGAACTTGTAAACCGTTCACAGGGTGAAGGTTACACCCCTTAACGATCCAAGAGATCGTCAACTCCATAAGGTCTAGAACCAAATAAGGGTTCGGGGATGAAGGTACAAATTCAACCTAAAAGAGATTGAACCTGCCCTAATAATAGGCCTCTACTTTATTCTGATCGTATTCATGTGCGCTTTCTAATTAACATGCAATCAATAAGATTTACCCTAAACCTGTTTGATCTATGTTGGTTGAATTTAATGCACAAACAAATTAATATTGGCAATCACTTGAAATATAATCAAATTAACCCTAACAAAATTATTAATTATCTTATTAAGCGTGATTACAAATACCAATTTCCTTTAAGCATGCAATAAAAGGTGTGATCAAGCAAT